GATGCTGGGATCACGGGCATGCACCACTGTGCCAATTTCAGGGTACCGGGGATTGAACTCAGGGACACTCGACCACTGAGCCACATCCCCAGCCCTCTTTTGTATTTATTTTGAATTTTATTTATTTATATACAGGGTCAGGGTCTCACTGAGTTGCTTAGCACCTTGCTTTTGCTGAGGCTGGCTTTGCGCTCATGATCCTCCTGCCTCAGCCTCCCAAGCCACTGGGATTCCAGGTGTGCACCACTGCTTGGCTCAATTTGTTCGCCTTAGCCTTTTTTTTTTTTTTTTTTTTTTTTTTTTTTTTTTTTTTTTTTTTTTTTTTTATTTTTAGTTTTCGGCGGACACAACTCTTTGTATGCCTCACGCATGCCAGGCGAGCGCACTACCGCTTAAGCCACATCCCCAGCCACATATTTTTTTAAATTGTGGTAAAATACACAGTCATTCCTCTAGCTCTATATATTCTAAATCCATGGATTCAACCAACTGTGGATCAAAAGTCTTTGTAACGGGGCTGGGGATGTGGCTCAAGCGGTAGCGCGCTCGCCTGGCATGCGTGCGGCCCGGGTTCGATCCTCAGCACCACATACCAACAAAGATGTTGTGTCCGCCGAGAACTAAAAAAATAAATAAATAAATATTAAAAATTCTCTCTTTCTCTCTCTCCTCTCTCACTCTCTCTTTAAAAAAAAACAAAAATCTTTGTAAAAAAAATTGTCTCTCCTGGGGTTATAGCTCAGTGGTAGAGTGCTTGCCTAGCATATGAGGCACTGGGTTCGATCTTTAGTACCACATAAAAATAAAATTTAAATAAAAAAGCTCTTGTGTTCATCTATAACTAAAAATCGATTTTACAAATTTGCATTTGCGGGGCTGGGGTGGTGGCTCAGTGGTAGAGCGCTCGCCTAGCATGCATGAGGCACTGAGTTCGATCCTCGGCACCACATAGAAACAAACTAATGTATCCACCTAAAACTAAAGATACATGAATAAATAAATATTTTGAAAAATTTGCATTTGGGGGCTAGGTTTGTGGCTCACTAGTTGAGCACTTGCCTTGTGTGTGTGAGGTACTGGGTTCAATTCTTGGTACCACTTATAAATAAACAATGGTCCATCAAAAACTAAAAAAAAGTTTTTGTTTTTGCTTTTTTTTTTTTTTTAAATTGGCACCCGTATTGAACATATATAGACTTTCCACTTATCCTTATTCCCTAAACAATATAGTCTAACATCTCTGTACACAGCATTCACATTCTATTAGTATTCTAAGTCATCTAGAGATGACTTAAAGTCTACTGGAGAAGCCAGGTGCAGTGGCGCAGGCCTGTAAGTGCAGCGACTCAGGAGACTGAGGCAGGAGGATTGCAAGTCTGAGGCTAGCCTTGGCAACTTAGTGAGACCCTGTCTAAATAGATAGATAGATAGACAGACAGACAGTCAGATAGCAGACAGACAGACAGATAGATAGAGAGAAAAGGGCTGGGAATATAGCTCAGTGGTAGAGTCCTCCTGGGTTCCATTCCTAGTCTCACACAAAAATAAAATAAAGTCTGCAGGAGGATGTGGAGAGGCTCTATGCAAACACTGTACCACTTTCTATCAGGGATGGGAGCATCTGTGAATTTCAGTATCCATGGGGGGTCTGGGGACCAGTGCCTGACTGATATTTTGGGATGATTATATAACATGACAATTTGCCATTTTGATGATTTATTTATTCATTGTGCAGCGCTGGGGATGGAATCCAGGGCCTCACATGTGCTAGGCAGGAGCTGACTTCAAACCAGACTGAAAAGCCCAGACTTAGGAGTTTTTAAGTATACAACTCAGTGGCCTGAAGTTGGTCCCCAGGGGCTGGAGGCAGCTCAGTGGGGGGTGCTCAGCACGTAAGGGGGGCCCAACACCCAGCACCGAAAAATAACAGAAAAATAGAAGCAGCACCTCCACAATGTCGGGCAGCCGTCCCGTCCATTGGCTTTGGTGGCTACGGGAGGGGTCAGCTCAGCTCTGAGGGGCCCTGCTTGTCCTGTCCTGCCTCCCACCCACCCTCATGGTCCTGGACGCCTGAGCAGCATCTTGATGCTGATTGGTCCTCCCTCCTCTCCCTCCATCACCAAGGACTGTCCCAGCACCCGGCCTCCAAAGCATCCCTCCAGCCCACGCGTGTCTTGTTGTTCCCATGGCAACCACGCAGGCCCAAGCTGTCGCTGCTTCTTGCCCAACAGTTGCACCTGCCTCCTCTCCAGGCCCCCTGCCCACCTCCAGCTGGCCGCCGGGTCCACCTGCTCCAAACCAGGCCCCACCCGAGGGGTCACACTAGAGGTCCCCGTCCCCATCTGCCGCTCTCACCACGTTGAGGACCAGGGGGTGAACCCAGGGGCACCGAACCACTGAGCCGCAATTTGATGAGGCCTGGAGTCAGACCATGTCCCTCCCTCCTCTGTGACAACCGTCCCCCCCACCCCATGCATGACTCCCCGTTGCCTTAACGCCACCTAATTTCTTTTAGTTTTGGTACCGGGGATTGAACCCACTGAACCACGGAGCCACATCCCCAGCCTATTTTATATTTTATTTAGAGACAGGGCCTCGATTTTGCTGAGGCTGGCTTTGAACTTGGGATCCTCCTGCTTCAGCCTCCCAAGCTGCTGGGATTACGTGCCCAGCTCAGACACCACCTAATTTCTCAGCTGCTAAAGGGCTTTCAGTGCTTGGTGACCGAGTGACTATGTCTCCTGTTGCATCCCTCCCATCAGTGAGTCTTGAAGGCAAAAATGGGCTCATTGTTCCCGTTCCTGATGGCACGGTCCAGCCATTGGGCCTTTGACATCGCTTCCCTTCTGCTTGGGTTTAATGCTGTCATGAACTTGGGCCGTCCTCGCCACCTTGTTGCCCTCTTCCTCCTTCCTAACAGATGTCTGGTTTGGTCTGATTGTTGGCCTGTGTGACTCCAGAGACATCAAACAGCATGACCTAAGTCTCCACGAGGAATTGGTGGGATTCATAGGGAGAAAAGATATGTCCTGTGGATTAGTGTTGCTGAATTGGGAATATGTCAACCTGGAGCAGCTGAGGGCCACTTGTCACTGCAATGACAATGCCTGTCAGAGGAATGAAGAGAAACAATGTCCTCAGGTCATAGTAGAAGTCCTAGATCAAGCTGTGCCTGAAGCCCACATTGTTCCTCAATTTTTGGCTAATGTCAGTTTGTGTTAGCCTTCTTGAAACTGAAACTTTCAATCCCTTTCTCTCTTGTCTCTCCTGTTCCTCGAGACTGAGCTCTCCTTCCAAGAGTATTTAATTTAATGTATATATGGTATGTATTTACTAGGATTGAACCTAGGGGTGTTTTGCCACTGAGCCACATTCCCAGTCCTTTTTCTTTTATATTTTGAGACAGGGTCTTGCTAAGTTGCCCAGGTTGGTTTCAAATGTGTGGTCCTCCTGCCTCAGCCTCCTGAGTGGCTGGAACTACAGGTGAGCACCAGCACACCTGGACTACAGATACTTAAAAATTCATTTTGTATTCTGTGTCTGGCCCATCGATTCTTTTATTTATTTTTGTATTTGGGGGCACTGAGGATTAAACTCAGCCTTGCACGAGCTGGATAAGTGCTCTACCACTAAGCTGCATTTGCAGCCCGAGGGGATTAGTTTTCCAATCTCCAGTGACCAGGTCGGAGCTTGACCCCGACAGATGCTTCATGAATGGAGAATGAGGAACGCCAGGCAGGGTTCAAAGCATGAGCTCTGTCTCCTGCAGCGGTGGAACCTCCCAACAGAAGGTGAGCATCGGCTGCCTGGAGGAGGTGGTGGGGAGGGGGGTTCTGAGGGATGGGTAGAATTTGGGAGGAATAGAGGGTGTCCCAGTGGATCAAAGAAGGAGGGTGGGTGGCTAAATGCAGTGGTGCACACCTGTCATCCCAGCAGCTCAGGAGGCTGAGGCAGGAGGATCGTGAGTTCAAAGCCAGCCTCAGCAACTTAGCGAGACCCTAAGCAACTCAGTGAGACCCTGTCTTTAAATAAAATGCAAAACGGGCCTGGGATGTGGCTCAGTGGTTGAGTGCCCCTGAGTTCAATCTCAGGAACAACAAAAACAACAACAACAACAACAAAAAATAAATAAATACAAATTAAAAAAACCCAGAGTGTGTGTACATGTGCTCTGCACAGCTGCCCGGGGACCGGGGTGGAGGGGTCCTGGTACGCATGTGCTGTCCTGGAGCAGTGTGTTGGAGGGTGTGTGTGTGTATGAGAGAGAGAGGGGGGTTCCCTCACCTCACCTGCCTCTGTGGGTTTCGCCCATGCCCTTCAAGCCCCTGTGAGCTGACCCCCCACACCCCTACTTCTCCCTCCATTTGCACTTCCCTGGCCACACCCCAGGCCCCCCAGGGCCCTGCAGGGACTCTGCCTGGAACACTCCCTCCTTAGGAGCATAGTTGGGCTCCTTGATGCACTTTGCCAGTCTCAGGTGGCCTGGGGTCCGTCCCTCCCTCTGGTGGCTCCATTACTCCCCTGTTTCTCCCGGGTCCCGCCCATGTGCCCTGCAGGGCTGGGTCTGCCGTGGCCCCAGCAGCCACAGACGCAGACCGCAGGGGCCTCTGGGATGCTGGCCAAGGGCCCCTACTGGTCCAGGGAGACCCCGGGCTGCTTTGCCCAGGCTCCCGTCCAGGGCCCGTGCTGGGGTCCCAGGGGAGAGAGTGTCCCTTCGACGTGTGGCCAAGGACCCGCCTGATACAGTCTCTGAGCCTCAGTTTACTATCTGCTCCCAGGGCTCTGCCCCTCCCTCCACTTTCCTCCCACGTCACACACAGACCTGGTGGTGACGGGTGGGTGGCTGGTGTCATGGCAACTGGAAGGAGCACCCATGTGTCCGGGTAGCACCCGGTTGCCAAGGCAACAGACCATGCTGTTCCTTGGTAATGGGGACAGAGATCTGGCCGGGGGTGGTGATCCGCTGGGGGAGGGCGGGAGCGGGAATGTCCCTGGCCTCCAGCAGGCACTTAAGTGACACTCCAAACACTCCCAGGAAGGATGGGGACTTGTGTCTGTCTCTTCCAAGGATTCGGGGAGTTCGGGCCAAGGCCCACCTGAGGCCGCCCAGGTACTTCCCGGCGTCCTTCCCTTCCTCCTGTCCCCACAAGTCCCTGTGCCTGAAGCCCGTTCCCTCTGCCATCCTCTGGCTTTGGCTTGAATGTCCTCGTGTGACCTCCCTGCTCAGTCCAGCCCCCTCCCCCAGTCACCATGCCCCGACTCCAGCTTTTATCATGTTGACAGTTTAGTGGCTGCTGGTTGGCTTGTGTGATGATTGGTTTAATGAATGGTCCCTCTGCCAGATGCGACAAGCGTCTCGGCCACAGCTGGGTCCCACACCCCGGGGAAGCCGCTCTCCATACATCTCTGTCGACACCCCGCCGCCTTCCTCTGCCTTGCCCCGCTTCCCCTGAGCCAATCCGGCAAGGTCTCCGGCCTCTGTCCCCTCCCGGGCTGGAGTAGGGCCGCCCACACGATGTCTACCTGGACCGCTTGGGAGCATTGTGGACTTCTCCACCAGGTTCTGGAATGTTCTGGAACATTCTAAAACATCTTCTGCTCTGACTAAAGAGGGGATGTCACCTCCTTAAAGAGTCTCTCCTTGTCCCTCCTCCCCGGGTCTCAGCCACCTGCCTTCATGGCAGTTATCACCCCCTGGAAGAGCCTTGGTCGTGGTCTCAGATTCTTCTTTCCTCGTTAGGACATGCGCTCTAGAATATTCTGCAGCTTGTGGGCAGGGCTCTTGTGTGGTGGGATTATAGTCAACTCCCAGTTGTTCAGTATCCCATTCCCTGGTGCCCTCTCCTGCCTGCTCCTCATTGGTCACCCCCTAGAGGTCACCCCAGCCCTGATCTTTATCACGTTCAGTCCATTGAAATCAATCACCTTAGCTGGCCACAGTGGCGTATGCCTGTAACCCTAGCTAGTGGGGAGGCTGAGGCAGGAGGATCACAAACCCCAGGCCAGCCAGGGCCACACAGTGAGACCCTACCCCAAAGTAAAATAAAAAGAGCTGGGGATGTGCAGGGGGAGAACACTGGCCTAGCATGTGTGAGGCCCGGGATACGACCTCCAACATGGCAAAAAATAAAGAATGATAAATAATAAGTAAATAAATAAAATAAATCAGTTTTCATGAGAGGCAATGTACATCTGATAATGCCACCATCTCAATTGTCAATCCTCTACTCTGTTGCTCTGCTTCAGGTAGCCCCTGTGTCAACCTCTATGACCATATGACGTTTATGAACGTTACATCAAGGGGATCACACAGCATGTCCTCATATGTCTACCTGCTTCACTCACTGTTGGAGAGATCCACTCATGGGAGGCATGAGCAGTGATGTCTTCATTTTCCTTGCTGCGTAGTATTCCACAATGTGACTCTTACATCACCTTTTGATGGTCCTTTGGGCTGTTTCCAGTTTGGGGCAGTTAGTATTTATATCTTCTGGTGAAAATATGTCATCTTTTCTTTGAATAAATATATGTAATGGGTTGAGAGATGCCCCACCCTGTCCCCAAATTTTATGTCTATATGGTACCCCATAGAATGTGGCCTTACTTGGAAACAGGATACTTGCAGGCATAATTAAGGTAAAGATCCAGATGAGCTGAACGTGGAGGAAGGTGGGCCCTCGACTAATGCCTGTCTTGAGAAGAGACAGAAATGTGAGAAACAAGGAGGTAGCCGTGTGACCCTGGGGACAGGAATTAGAGTGTGACGGCCACAGCTAAGGAACTCCAAGGACTGCTTCAGTCACCACAAGTCAGGAGACAGGCGTGGGACGGATTCCCCTTCAGGTCCGTATGGGGATAAGAACCAACCTGGTGGACACCTAGATTTTGGACTCCGGCCTCCAATTCTGTGGGGGAACACATTTCTGGTTTTTTATTGCCACCCAGTTTGCGGTCATTTGTTACAGTAGACACGGTTCCTCATCCGATGCCCCAGAATAGGACGACAGGGCCCCAGAGTGGGGGGATACCTCCCTACAAGGATGATTTGGGGGAGCCCCCCGGGGATACTCAGGTCCCCTCTGTAAAATGGCAGGGTAGTTGCATGTGACCTACCAGGGCACGTTCCTCCCTGGAGCTATTTCGTTTCTGTGTGTTGAGGTGCGGGTGGGGGAGCCCAGGCTGGGTGCCTGCTTGGCAAGCGCTCTCTCGCTGAGCTCCTCCCCCAGTCCCCCTCCCGAGACTTTAAATCATCTCTAAATGACTTATGATACCTAACACAATGTCAGTGCTGTGTAAATAGCTGTTATACTCTATTGTTTAGGGAGTAATGACAAGACTAAACGTCTGTACATGTTGGGTGCAGACGCGACTTATTTTTTGAATATTTTCCATCTGCACTTGTTGGAATCCATGGCTGCGGAACCCTTGGAGGCAGAGGACTGGCGGTGTTGCCAAACACCAAATGGCATTCCCGAGTGGTCCCACCGATGGACACTCCCACTGGCTGAGTGTGAGGCCGGCCTTGGAATCAGGACCAGTTCCTCTGTAAAACAGAGAAAGAAGGGGCTGGGACTGTCACTAGGTGGGAGAGTGAAGTTACCACGCATGAGGACCTGGGTTCCATCCCCAGCACCCCTAAAAAGTGGGGACAGTAAGAACTCCCCCCCCACCCCCGGGTGTGGTTGAGAATACACCAGATGCACGATCCTGGGCATTGAAGACACTCCCTGTATTAGACCATTTTGTGTTCTTGAAATGACATGCCTGAGACGGGTTGGTTTGATAAAGAAAAGAAGTTTGTTTTATTATTTGTTTATTTATTTTTCAATATTGATTTTTTAGTCATAGGTGGACACAATGTCTTTATTTTATATTTATGTGGTCCTGAGGATCGAACCCAGGGCCTCATGCATGCTAGGTGAGCGCTCTACCTCTGAGCCACAATCCCAGCCCCCTTATTTTTAATTTTTTTAAAAAAACATCTTTATTAGTTGTTGATGGACCTTTATTTTATTTACTTATTTATATGTGGTGCTGAGAATCAAACCCAGTGCCTCACACATGCTAGGCAAGTGCTCTACCACTGAGCCACAAACCCAGCCCTGGAAGGGGGTTTATTTCACCCTCAGGGTTTGGTTTGGTGCTTGGGATGGAATTCATGACTTCTCCCAGGGGCTCGATTGCTGAGCTGCACCCCAAGCCTCAGTCGCAGTTTCAGAGGCTGAAAGTCCAAAGAGCATGGAGCAGGCTCTGGTGAGGGCCCCTCCTTTAAAAAGGCTGCATCACCTCATGGTGGATGGCAATGGAAGAGGAGGGTGTGGCTCAATTCTACACAGGAAGTCAGAGAGAGACTGGGGGACCACAATCCCTGCCCAGGACAACATGGTCCCAATGACCTAATGGCCTCTCCCTGGGCCCAAGTCTGTGTCTGTCTGTCTGTCTCTCTCTCTCTCTCTTTGGTGGTGCTGGGATTGAACCCAGGGGTGCTCTACTACTGAACTACATCCCCAGCCCTTTTATTTTTTATTTTTTAATTTTGAGACAAGGTCTCACTAAACTGCAGAGGCTGGCCTAAATCTAGCAATCCTCCTGACTCAGCCTTCTGAGTTGCTGGGGTTACAGGAGTGTATCACAGACCAGCTGCAAAACTCTTTTCTAATAAAGACTACATTTCAAGGTTCCAAAGGGAAAATAACTTTTTGGGGAAGCCATGGAACCCAGTACCTGTTGTGAGCATGTGAGCATCTAGAATGTATCAGCCATCACATTTATATAAATATTATTCTTATGTGGTGCTGAGGATGGAACTCAGGGCCTTGCACATGCGAGATGAGTGCTCTACTGCTGAGCCACAACCTCAGCCCTCAGCCATTGCATTATTAATACTAACAAAGAAAGGCTGGAGACGTGGCTCAATGGTAGAGCACTTGCCTAGCATGCATGAGTCGAGTCCCTGGGTTTGACACACCACAAAACAAAAGGGAATCTGCGATGGCTTCCTTCCACCAAAGTCCCCTGGGAATCAATCTCTCTGGTCTGTTTTGCCAGCTAAGTGAAGACATTCAGGTTGTACTATGGTTTGGTGATGGTTTAAGTGTGTCCCTCCCACAAGAATTTATATATTGGGCTGGGGTTGTGGGCTCAGTGGTAGAGCGCTTGCCTAGCACATTCGAGGCCCTGGGTTCAATCCTTAGCATCATATAAAAAAATAAATAAATATTACAAAGGTATTGTGTCCAACTATAACTAAGAAAAATAAATATTAAAAAAAGAATTAATATATTGAGCTGGACATGGTGATGCATGTGCAAAATCACAGCAACTCAGGAGGCTGAAGCAGGAGGATTGCAAGTTGGAGGCCAGCCTCAGCAACTTAGAGAGGCCTTAAGCAACTTAACTGGACCCTGTCTCAAAATTTAAAAATAAATAGGGGCTGGGGTTGTGGCTCAGTGGTAGAGTGCTCGCCTAGCACGGGTGAGGTCCTGGGTTCCATCCTCAGCACCACATAAAAATAAATAAACAAAAATAGAGGCATTGTGTCCACCTACAACCAAAATTTTTTTTTTAAATTTAAAAATAAATAAAAAGGGCTGGGGATATAGCTTAGTGGTTAAAACGCCCCTGGGTTCAATTCCAAGAATAATAATAATAATAGTAGTAGTAGTAGTGGTAGTAGTAGTTATTGAGAGCTTGGGCCCAGGCACTGAAAGGTGGTGAGATCCTTAAGAGGTGGAGCCCAGAGGGAGTTTGGGAGACTGGCTCCTCCCTCTGACTCTGGTTTCCTGCTTGGCCATTTGACCACCTCCCTGCATATGCTCCCACCATTACTCAGAGCCAACCTGATGCCTGTAACGATGCCTTTGACCTCCAGAACTGTGAGTGAATAGACCTCTTTTCTTTGTAGTTAACCTGCCTCAAGTGTTTCATTATAGTAACAAAAACTGGACTGATACAGGTTGGCTCAACTTTACGGAGTAGTCCTGGCCATTCCTGGATGTGGACATGTCCCTCCCCTTGGCACCCTAACTGAGGCAGGGGTCCCCAAGAACTGACTCTGACTCAGCTTCCCTGAGAGTCCAGAGCTTATAGCTTGTGCTGTATGACTAGGAGTCCCTCGCCCTCTCTGTGCTTGATCCCAGCCCTTGAGTGGCTCTGGAAGACAGAAGTACAGAACTACATTCTTTGATATACATGGTGGACATCAAGAATTTATATATTGGGCTCTGGGTGTTTTAGTAGAAAGGGTGACTAATTCTTTGTGTGTGTGTGTGTGTGTGTGTGTGTGTGTGTGTGTGTGTGTGTGT